ATGACTGAAAAATTTCATTTTTTTGTAAAGGTTGTGTCTATTTAATTGTGACCACGCTGTGTATGTCTTTTTGATGCTAATGATAATTTATTTTTTTGCCATAAGTGTTCTAGAAGCTTCACTGGATCACATCAAATTCACTGTCTTTTCCCATTTTACTGTCCATAAAATGAAATTCCCTGATGTTTCCCAAGCCAGGAACACAAAATATAAACTTCACACGAAAATGAGAAATCCGATTCTCTAACCACTCTCTGTTCAATGAATAAAAGAAGGTGAATTTATGACATAAATACATTGAACTTGTTATACTTACAGTTCAAATCCAAGTTGCTTACAAACAACATCTGCATCTTTGAGATCCCACATGTCACCACATATCAAACCCCATTCACCATTGACTCGAATCTCAACTTGTCCTTCAATAAGTTTTTCATCTAGTGTGACTTCTGATCCTCCAGCTAGTCTAATGGCAAAGTCAACAATTGAAGCTGAAATAATGAAACAGTAAACAAGAATTCGATATCAAAAGTAGAATTTTGGTAAAATACACAATTTTCTGAAACTGTAAAACCTATAAAAATTAGAAAATAGTAATAATAAGAGATTTTATTTTATTTTTTGCATTATATATGTTCCTATCATATAAATTTGTAAATATACAGAACCATACACAAAGGTTTAAATATCACACATTTCTGTAAAAAAAAACTTGTCAATGAATATGATGCTTACAAAACCATTTATATTGTGTGCTAAATACTTTAGTTGGTAATGAACAAACATAGAAATAGAACAATGAACAACATTTTGATGCCAAATACAAGGCAATTAACATGAGTATTTTTAGTAGAGTAGCTTCTCTTCAACTAAAGTAATCCATTGATATGTTTACCTATTAATATATTTTTCACCTTTCACAACGGTATACAGGTTAGGAACACTTTGATTAATTCACCACTATTATTTTCATTAGCAATTAATACATTCAAAACTCAAATATAGTTATTTTAAAGAAAACTATAAACATTTATTATACTTACTACAGTTTTTTTCATCTGAAAAGTCATTGCAGTCATTAATTCCATTACACACTACGGTTGCATTTATACACTTCCCATTATGGCAGACAAACTGAGAGGAGCAGTTCACTATACAAAAATTAAAAATACATGCTTAAGTTTTTCTGTTTATCTATCCAAGTGTTAGGTTGATTTATCAGTGCAATACAAGTAGTCTCTATGAAAAGGGCACAATCCATTTCCACATGCTAAACAAACAACAAAAATTATAATTTCTTAGTGGTTTTTATATAGATAAATGGTATTTGCAACAGAGATCAAGTTTGACTATCTTACATTTGCCTATGTCAGAACTTTTCAACCATTATGAAGAACAAAAATTTCCAATTGGAGATTTATTAATGCTTAAAACTTTACTTAAGTTAGACACAGCAGCTGATGCTGATATAATTATTAAAGAAGAACATTTCTCTAACATATTGTAAAATAATTTCATATGAAAATTAAATGAACAAAAGTACTTCTATTAATAATAAAACAAACAAACCTGAAAATTCTTTTCTTTCATAATAATCAAACTTGTCATCTTTTCTTAAAGTTCCAACCATTGCATTGATCTTGTCACTTAGAATACAATTACCTCTTTTTTTACCAAAGCTGAAGGAACGGCATGTAAAATCAGTTGCAGTAGAACACCTTCTTTCACACTATAATGAAGATATATATATATATATGTGTGTGTAAATATGTGTGTGTTTCTTAAACATATTAACAGCAGAAGGCTACTTTGAACACTGATTTAAAAAAAAAGGGTTCTGATGAAGAAAGTGACATGTGCTGCATTACCCACTGCAATTTTAGTTGAAATTAATACTTTAAATGCACAAGCTACTGTTTCATGGTTTATCCATTGAGAATTCTTTTGATTCAATATTAATGCAGAGTTGGTTCCAGGTTGGAAAACTTGGAAACTGACAGATAGTTCTAATTTAGAAAAATTAACATAAGCAGTTAAAATGCTTGACTAAGCTCTATGCTGGTATAGAAGTTTGCAATAAACATTTTATCCATCACAATCCCATCCTTCATAATGATACAAAAAGTACATAGTATATATACTTACTCTCAGTTTATACATTCTACATCACATTTTCTATTTAATTTTGGATAAACAGTTCAGAAAATAAGCATTATTCTTTTTTCTCATATATAATGTTCTGAATTGTTTTTGTACATTGTGTTTTTGCTCACTGAATTTATGTCTGTTCCACTGAGTGAATATGATAAGAGTATTTGAAATTTAAGAAATAGAGAATCTTTTATATTGAAATATATATATATAGAGACTACATTTCTCACACCTCTTTTTAGAACCAATGAAATAACAGCAAAACAATATAAAATGCAATAAATAAAAATGAAACAATATTCTTTAAAATAAAAAGTTAATAAAAACTTGCTATATATATTAAACCTAAGATAGGATTTTCTGGAACTGCTCTAAGCAGGCTAAGAGTGGTGTGACAATATGTTTAGACGTGGACTAGTTCAGTGAATGGATAAGTACATGAATATTTATCCAGTATGAAAATTTTAGATGCCAATAACATACTTTTGAGTGCCACTCTGTAAATCATATGTTTTAATAGATGGACTTTCTCTCTCTCTCTCTTTTTTGTCTGAACAACATGCTGATGTTGTGAATTCACAAACATACCTTGAGTAAAAATATTTTTGTAACACAACTCATTTTTTGTGAAAATATGTGAAAAACTAATAAAACAAAAAGGAGATACTTTCTCATTATACTTAAGTCAATAATTTCCAATAGAAAATTTTCTGTCAAGACTGACAAGCCTATGAATGGATTGAAATGGTTAAACTATAAAGCTTGAATGTGAAATCTTGTTTAAAAACATGTTCATTTACTGTAATTTTATTGTTACTTACTTAGATATTGCTCTATAAATGAAACACAAAAAATTTTAAACATGTGTAAACATAAAGTTAGTCACATTTCAAAAGAACAATTTGCCTATGTTAATTCAATGGCATGATGGCACAGACATAAACTGTAGTACCCAATATATATTTAATATACAGCACCTAAAAATATATTTGGTTCATGACAAATTCCTATTACCATATGAAAGTGATGGGCCACCAGGCTAAACTTATGGTTGGTTGATTTATTACAGCCTTTCTAATAAAATATAACTATATAGAAAAACTATTAAACAATGTACATCCAAAGGGCATAACATTTTAATTTCAAGATTGTTCTGTATGAAAGCAGAGAAACTCACTCAACAGAGATTACATACATTAAAACAGCAACAGGCTCTGAAACCACACCACCAGCTAGTTTGATAACACCCTCATCTGCAAAGTGAAAACTATGATCATGAAAAAGACTTCTTCAACAAAAAAGTTGTTGTTATGAAGGTGGGCATATTTTCTGCAGTACTATTAACAATATCATAAACAAAGTTTGAAGTTGACAAAGGTTCATAACTCAAAAGCACAAAAGCTTCCAACCACTCTCTGAAATTAATGAATGTTTTTATAATATAGTTGGCTGAAGAAAGTAGAAACACAACAATTCTATTCAACCACATTTCTGTCAAGTATTTCAATGCAGTTCCAATAGACTTTTGGGCCTTTGGTCTGTTTATATATGGTCATAACAGTTGGCATCCATGTACAGTGGAAACAAGCAAAAGCTTATTACAATGGAAATTGCAGTGTTGGGCAAATAACAGAGACTATCAAATTAAGCACAATTAATGATCAGAGAAACAGTTCCAAGAAAAACATGGGACCTGGATCATCATTTTTATGAAGTGTGATTAATTCTTAGTTATATATGTGTGTGTATAGATATATATTTATTTAATAAAGAAGATAATTTAATTAACTAAAACAAAGCAGGAGCTCATTATTAACTGAATAATAGTGGAATAAGCTTAGATGTAAATAGAAAAATTAGGAAAATGTACCTTTTCTAAAGTTGTATATAACCATTTTTTCTTGTCATGATTGGTCAACTTAAAGCCGCTTGTTTTTGTATAATCTTCCAAGTAGTTTCCTATTAAAAAATATTCAAAATTTATCTGCAAATTTTCCAAGCAGTAAATTTGTTAAAGGCACACAAGTGTTATTCATATAATTATAAATACTGATACATAAAATAGGTAAATTCATATTTGTAACTATCAAAAAAATGAAATATTACAATAAAAAATATAAACACAGGATAGGAAAAAAACATAAATAAGAGTTAAAAAAAGGGATAATGTTTTTAACTGTAATCAAAACTGAAAAATGTTTTGAGTAGTGTTCATTTCAAAATAACAGCATGATGTAAAAGTAAAAAATGTAAAACTAATATTTTAAAGCCAACCAATTTAATAAATAACAAGTTTATCTTTTTTTTATGCAAGAAACATTTCACATTAATAGTACATTCACATCAAGCATCAGGGAAACGAAGGTGAGGGAAAGATCACCAACAGGGGAAACACTCAAATACCAAAGAGCTTGGTTAAAGACAACACTCATTTAATTATCATACAATACAGTAATAAAGATGACTGTTTTGAAAAAAAAAAAACACCTTGGTTGGATAAGAGTTAGAAAGTACTTATAATCACTATTTTTAATTAATTAGCATAATAGTCTGACTACATTTCTTTCAGATTGCAATTGGATTTGTGTGTGGAGGTATCACTAGCTACTACTGTACATTACCCAGAATGTTAATTTGACATTTCTGTCAGATTGCAAGTGGGAAGTTGTACTTTAGCTCGGCTAGGAAGAATCAGTTATCACTGTCAGTAACTCAGCAAACATAAAACATTTTCACAATATTGCTAGAAAGTGGTATTATGGTTATGTTAGAAAAGAACTTTGCAGAAAGGTTTTGGGAATGTTTTTAAAATCATTATAGTTCAATGTTAATAAACATTATTATAAAACATTACCTTTGTATTTTAGTTAGTTCACAGGTAAACATTGTAAATAAAATCTGTTAGAAATGTTTGTAAAACATTTCAGTAGTAATATTGAATACAATTTTCCTACTAGGTCACATACTCGTTCAAAAATAGTTATGATAAAAAATAAAAAAAATCCTATTTTTATTTTGAAAAATTAAATCATATTCTTCATCAAACAGTGTCTGCAGAGAACATCACCACAAAGACCCTGACATCAATCTGTAATAAACTTCCAGCAGTCCTTAAGGCTTATCTGTTTTGCAAGTCTTTCACTGCATTTTCATAGACACTTGAAGATTTCACACAAAATTCATCCATTAATATCAACAAGAAGGGTAAGTTTTATGGCATTTCAGAGGATGGATGGGTGCCAATAGTAGCTATATATAACATTACCTAGATGTTTTACATGAATAGTTTTCTTTACTTAGAAAGTCATTTTATGGAATTTAGGTCCCTAAAGCTGAGGTGAAATGGCTGATAGTTTCACTGAAGTCCTGTCATGATGTGTTAACATTAACATCTGTATTATGATTACTGTTGTCTTCATTATTTCACAGAATTCAAATGGAAGTAACCAAAGATGGAATGAAATAATACCTTTGTGTTATGCACTGATAGCATCATACTATCATAGATGCGAAGACTGTACACCTGTGTTGGGGTGAGCTTGTAGCATAATGATGTACATAATAAATTGTAATGTCTAATACTGCTTATGTGTGTAGCTTATATAGGCCTAGGGTTCACTTGCATAATTTTTTACATACAATATCCAGTTCAAATAACTTACAAATTTTATAGCACACATGGTGGTTCTTTAGGAGATAGCCATTTTCTACCACGAACGGTAATGTCATCTACCCTCAGCTATAAATCAGATGGAGGACACGGCTCTGTTGTTAACTAATACACAGTTTATATATATATTTATATTGGCACTTGTGTATAATGCTGAAATAATAAATGTACGTTAAAATCAATATACAATTAAAATCATATCAAAATAATGACTCTACATGTTTCAATGTGTCACACGTCATCTTCAGGAGTAAAACAATTGTAAGAGATAAATTTCCGAACATATGAGATGTATAAACAATGAAAAAACAACAAATTCAGCTATAGCAGAACATGAAAATAAAATTTATCTCTTGCAACTTCACTCCTGAAGATGACGTGTGACACGTCGACACATGTAGAATCATTATCTTGATATGATTTGAATTGTGTATTAATTTTGATGTATATGTATTATTTTAACACATGATTATTAAAAGGAAGAAAAAGGTAAAAGAAACCAGAATACATACTCATTTTATTGTGACATGAGGAGGTGATGACTTTTGATATGCAATTTATGAGAAATTTAAGGAAATGTTAAAGAATTATATAGAAAAGGGCTAACAATACAAAATATTGTTTACATAATGTTTAGTTGTGTACAACTAAAGTGTAAAAAAAAAAGAGCCTTAGATTTTGCTTTTCAGACTAATGTTGCATAAGAGGTGATAAAAGAGACTGCAGTTCAACACATTAATGAAGATGAATATGATAAGATATAATTATTGATTTATGGTTATATCTTGGCTGGATTAATGTTACTAGAAATAAAGTTCTTAAACAAAGGCTCAATATTTTGTTATTTTTGATAGAATATAAAATCCTACAACATTACATCAAGATTATGATAAGGTTGCCCCAAAATGTTATGGTGAAACATTGTGGAAACCTTGATAAAACTTTCCATGTTTATGTTGACAAAATGTTTTATCCAAACATTACCAGAACTAAAGTGTAATGTTTTCACAACATAGTAGAAATGTTTTTTTGGTTAACTGGGAAGTGAAATGAAAAAACATAACACAGTAATGGTCCAATTAATGAATCATACCTTCCCCTTAGATCACACAGTGAGGGATAAACTTAAAAGTAAGTAACTTCAAAACTCACCAATGAATAGAGACTTTCTTAAATTCAGCATTAAGATTCAAGATGATTAGAAAAATTGGTTTAACTCTAAACAAAGGTTTTTCATAAAAAAAAAATACAAGTGTACCCTGTATGTGGTTATATGCTCCATTGAAACTAATAAGCTACATTAGTATACTACAGGTGTTGAATACTTTATATTAAAATGATTTTAGTGCATTACTATATCATAATATTCCATGTTGACTGGAATAGCATGAATACCTGATTCATTCTTCTAGCTGCTTGAGATATGAAACTGTTGAACAGAAATGTTGCAGAAGCAACTTGTGCAGACATGGATGACCTTCACCACTGAACTTTGTATCCTGAATTTTCATCTGTTGCAAAACACCACCCTTTGCTTACAACAGCTGAGGTGCAACTTGTTGTAAGTCTCTTTCTGGATGATACTGGTGCACCAAGTTAATCCATGTTCCTTTGTTTTCCAATGTTATTAATTAAGAGGAAGATCCGTATTTTGGAAATTCTTAACCCTAATCTGAACACATCTTTATGGTTTGAGTGTATGAATATTTTGCATCAGAAAACAAACAGTCTTTAATAACAGGACACTACATGTCAATATAAAATTCTCATGCATGCAATTCCATGGCAACTTTATATTGGCTAAGGTTTTCATGTGACTTGCTAATTTACATACTCAACAGCATTTTAATATTATATACTTAACACTATGTATATCACTAAGTTTTTTATAAGAAGAGTAAAATCTAAGTCAGTATCTAGCTAGTAGGGAAAAGAAAAATGTTAAACATTTATATTAACCAGACTTATATAAGGCTTAATATAGTTTCAAAAGACTTACTGCAGTTCAATTCATCAGCTCCATTAGTGCAATCAAAATATCCATCACAGGTCCACGTAAGAGGAATGCACCTATAAATAAAATGCAGTCATTAGCCACAAAGACATTTTTCATATTTAAATACTGTTGTTCAGATGTATGTAAATCAGTTTCAAAGAAGAATTTAGCAAGTCATAACATATCTCGTACTCTGTACACGTATAGATTCATAGCCATTGAGTGGGAAAAGGAAAGGGTACAAATCTGTACTAAACTACAAACAAACTTTTAATGGTAATAATGATTAAGTGTGTAATAGTATCTCATAAAAATCTTGTTTTAATTTAAAGTTCTGACTACTATTTTTCTACAGCTGCTTGTTGCACTGAATTACTCAGTTTACCTTTCTTATATCTATTTCCTTGTAATTTGTGACTATTTTCTTTTATATTTCATAATGCTTTAGACAGAATTAATAGATTAATATTGCTAAGATTATAAAAAAAATTGCTAAAATAAAGTTTCTGAATCTAAATATGTCAACCATCTGCAATGGTGACTACTTGTAAAACATTTTCTCAAAGATTTTAAAAATACACAGTAACATTTAAAACTTTCAAACTAAGAGAAGAAGAGAGAGAATATCAATACAGATACCGTTTTTAACAAAAACCTAAGCATTTTTAGATCAGTAAAAACTTATGAAAATGAATAAAACAAATTCAGAATAAACAATCAATACAAAAAAAATCTTAGTTCATGAATATCCAAGTAAGTAAGATTCAATTGCTTAGAGCAGCAAGAGTTGATGCAATATTTTTGTAGAAAAGCAAAAACAATGCACAATTACGTTTATTGCTCTTGCTTTTATGTACTAATATTTATTGCAGATTCTATAAGAAAATGCATATGATAAAAGAATACTGGTTGTAAAAGCAAATGTAAGTTTATATTTACATATTCGTACCATCCTTATGCACATACGTTCATTATATATCTAAATAAGTGGTTCATGTAACAGTTATTAGAAAATAAATCAATAAGACAAGTGTTTAAAAATAGGAACAATGCAAAATATAATTACGTTCCAGGTGAACACTCAAACTTATTGGCTTCACATGGTTTAGGAGTGGTCCTAGGTTCTAAGAAAAATGACAATAAAAAAATAGAAATATTTATAGAAATATAAAAATAGAAACATATATGCATGAATATGTTACTGAAAGTGAAATATTTTTTTCTGTTTCACATTCACTTGCACTTAACAAGAAATGACAGATGTTAAAGATAAATTTACCATTTTTGTACTTTTAAGTTTTGTAAAGATCATTTCATGATTTTTAATGCACTTGCATAACTTTAATCTAAAAACAAGATTTTCAGGTTTCATTCTGAAAAAACTTTAAACACAAGTGATCATAAAATCTTAATTTACATTAAATTATATATATCATATTAATCTTACTTTCTAATTATGCAAAATTGTAAAATTATGCTAACACAAGCAACTGTTCCATTTCCTTTGAAAAACACACAACAGAAGAAGTGACAAGTTTATCTAACTACAAAAAAAATCAAAGTACAGATTCATCTGTGAAATGTATCACTACATAATGTTATGTGTTTAATATACAGTACTGTGCAAATTCATAAGCGTACCTCATTGCTTTCGTAGTTTTGATTTGTTGTGCCATTGTAGTTCAAAATGTTGTAGTAAAACTTCAAAATGGACAAATTATTCATTTTTTCACTTACCCATGACATTAATTTGCTGCTACATATCTAATTAATTTAAGTTATGGCCACAAATGATTAAGTGTCATAGATCAAGTTTTAAAAGTTGTTCAAGATGTCTAATTTAAATACAAAGTGGTGAAACATTATCACACATGACTGCCTTTAGTTTATGCACCAGTCATCACCAACATAACTTTTGCATTCTGAGTTTTTCATGCAATTACATGAAGGTATATAAGGGATGATTTTTGTTTTTTTCAAAAAGTTAGTACAGCCAACCTAATGTGGTAATTTTCAACCAATGAAATGCCAAAACAGACAGAATTAACACCCTTCGACAGAGACAGAGTCAAATTTGTACGTGGTACTAATTGGAGTTTCAAAAATTGCAGAAGACCTCAGCTATTTAACAAGTAATATGAAGTACAGATTGGATAGACGCAAGGAAACCCAGTTCTATAACATCAAACAAGACAGGGGATGGAGAAAAAAAAAGCTAACTGAAAGAGATGTAATATATCTAAATATCAATATCCTGAAAAACCAAAGAAAAATTGTGAAAACTTTGCTAATGACATTAACAAATCATGCATAGATAATACATCAAGAATAATTGTCTCAAGAATATTACATAAATGTGGCCTTTAGAAAAAAGTAGCAGCAACAAAGCTCTTACTGTGTAATTAGAATATAATGAAGGAACTAGCTTTAGCCAAAGAACATGAATCTTGGTCTTTGGAACACTGACATTAGGTGCTTTGGATAGATGAGCCTAAATTTGAACTAATTGGTTTCAACCAACACGTATATGTGCGCTGGAGAGTCTACAAGACAATTCAGGAGTGTCTTGCACCAACAGTCAAGAATGCAGGAGACTTTATTATGGGTTGGGGCACAATATCTGTGAATAGTGTCAAGCTTGTTGGAAATCTTCACAAAATTGAATCATAGATCAGCATAAATACCAATTTTATTAGTTCATCATGCTATACCCTTTGAAAAGAAGCTGATTGGGTCAAATTTCATAATTCAAGAAGATAATGACCCAACCACACTTCCAATAAATGTTCCAAACTTATTTGTCCAAGAATGCAAGCTCAGGAGATATCCAGCAAATGGAACGGCCACCATAAAGTCCAGACCTCAACCACTAAACACAAATCTGGGATTTTCTGGACTCCATGGTTGACAAAATAACCAACCTTACTAGAAAAAGTACCTAATGGACACAGCTTCAAAAGAATTACACCAGAGTCTTTGAGAAAATACACAGATACAATGCTACAAAGATGCCAAACTGTCTTTGATGCCAAAGGTGACCATACTAAATGTTAGCATCAAAGAAACTTAGACATTATTTATGCATTCATTTTGAAATAGTTTCCTGTAAGATTAATTTGCAATAATAAAAAGTGAATTTCAATAGCAAATGAATGATTATTTTGTGTGTAAAGCTCATGAAATGACAATTGTTGAGGTGTTCTAATAAATGTGCTCACTACTGTATATCTATATGAGCATGTATGCTATTTTTAATTAATTTTTCTCAACAATGAATAGCCAAGTTTGTTAAGATTTACAAAATTATATGTAAACTTGTAGTGATAGATATACGAAGAAACACATCATAGACAAAGGCTACCTTCTTTAGTAAATTTGACAGTGACTTCACAAGAATTAATTTATAACTGATTCTATTATAGAGTAGACAGTGCATTCAAACAAAGTTTGGAATAGAAAAATGTAAAAGTAAATATTTTATAAATAAAATTTTGAAAAAAGTACTTAATGATAAACCTATACATCTCTTTAAGACATTATGTAAGAAAGTTATAAGCTTCACGGGCAACAACATAGCAAATTTAATATTGTTAATAACAAGATAAGAATATATTAAGTTATGTGCTTCATCCACTACAAATTATTACAATATTATTTTATGGTAAAGCCTACCAATCAACTGGCAAGAAGGAATGTCACAAAAAGCAAAATTGGTGACTGACACAAAACACCATGGTTGTTTAAACCCATCAGGATTTCTGCAGAAATTATGACCTTTCAAGTCCTAGTTTAAAAAACAAACAAACAATGACTTATTAGTTAATCAAATTACCAAAATAACTAAATTATCTTTCTACTAATTTATATGTATAAATCTGCATGAGAAAATGCCTTACCACTTTTGCCTGTGGCATCATTGAAAGAACCATATCCCATATTTCTGGGGTATCCCACCTCATACAGGAACTCCTATATTCTGTAACATTGGCCCTTCCTTTGTAGTTTAGTCCTTTTCCTTGGATGCAACCTGATAGTATTTACAGTGGAAATTACCAAATAGAGGTTTTGACACATTTTCCAAAGTATAATTAGTGAATACATACACTGGAAAATGTATGGCTTAAAGATAAGCTCAAATAGGAAAACAAGCTTTGATTTTTTCACAAAGTAGTATAATGTAACACCCACGTGATAACACATCAGAAGTATTAGTGTTCATGCAGTAAGCAGTAATACAAACCGAATGAATGTATATGTAGTAAGCTGATGAGTAATAGTTAATTAAATCTTATCTAATTTGAAAAACTGAAATTTCCATTAGTTGCCAACAATCCATAATTTTACTTTCATAAATCTGAATTTTTTTTACTTATTTTTACACTGATTGTATAAAAAGGATGCTATCGTTGTGACACAAAATGTTGTCCAGCATTAATTTCATTAATATACACAGGAAACAGAAATAAGAATAAAACAACTGTCAAATCACTGTTGAGCTTCATAGATGCATTGCTCTTTCATATATATATATAGATCCATATTAATACCATTAGAAGTAGTTCAATTTTTGCTACCAAAAAGAAGTAATATGTAATAATAGATATATCTTTATGTTTACATCAAATTGCAAAACATGAAAAGAGGGTGCAAACATTTTTTGAAGTTTTCATGAAAATTAAATTTATTTAAAATAAGAAAACAGGTTACCAATATCTTTTTGATGTTTTTCACAAATGTATGGAAATTCTGCATCACAATCTTGAGAATTCCAAAAGAAATATTCCATCTGAATGCTTCTGTGATGAGGATGGTAGAAAATATTCTGAAGAACTAAACAGGCAGAAGAAGTCTTTAAACTTGTACCAATGGAATTATTTCTGTTAAACCACTTTTGAAAGTTTTGTATTTCTTCACTAGAATTGTTCCACTTCCAGAGATTATTAGTCTGACTTCCTCCTATATGGACCTTCGATGTTACTGCAACAGAGATTAAAATAATGTGTGAAGCTCTGTTGAAAAAAACAAGCCTCTAGAATAAGAGATGTAGACATTATTAGGATATTTTCTTCAAGCTATGAAGCTTAACAAAAAAATATTAACAAAATTGTTACAATTGACGAATTACAAAAATTGACATTAGAATAAAGTATAACATTTTTTTAAAGCTACCTCTTGATACATCTCTGTTATTCCAGCAGCCATTTAATGAAAAATTTTTTAAAAGACAATTTTCAACTTAATTCCATTTCATTAAGAATAACTTATTACTAAAAAAGATATTATACAATTGAAATAACAGAAGATTCAAAGAATATTTAGTGTTGATTGATAATTATCATTCTTCTTTTTTTATAAATTCACATTTTACAATGAAATACACTAACATGATAACTGCTGAATGTTAACATTTTCCAGCACTGAAAATTTATTTCCAATAGGTACTTACCTCCTTTCACCCATAGCTATCTCGACCATCATTTGTCCTCTAGACATTGGTAAATTTTTAACAGTGCACCAGTCTTTTATACTCCTATATTTTTTGCATCATTGCATCAACATGTGCTGAACATCTGACCACCCTTCACAAATCCCATTGCGCCCTCTATACTAGTACGGGTAGCTTCCTCTACCATTGCGGCACAATTCTCACTTTTGAGAATTGGCTTATACAAACCTGAAAACACCAGCAAATCACTGGGGAGGGAGGGATGTGGGTTAAAAGAGATAAGTACCTATCAGAAATACATTTTCAGTGTTAGAAAATGTTAACTTCCAAGACGATACTACCTCTGTCCATGCAAAAACAAATAATCAAGCAGAGAGTGACTGCTATAAAAAAATCAGGTGAGCCACAAATAAAATAAGATAATAGATTTTGTGCCATACTGTGTGTAAAATATGCAGCATAACGACGATAGCCCTCTTCTCATCAAGAGAGTACACATGGCTACAGGATTATGCTATTATAGAAAACTCACTCATGAGGAAACCTCCATGGTCCACCACTCCAGCAACTAGGAACCAGAAGTGGCAAGGACCCTTGTGCTCCACATGAAGAATGAGGGAGGGAGGTGCATTATGGGGTCCAGAGAAACAACCCACTAGAGACAGTGCAATGGGTGTCTGCACTTCC